GACGCCTCTGCTATTCACCCAGGTAGATCTGTCTGCAACTCGAAAAAGCCTGCCATGTGGGCAAAACATTGTCAATAAAGGATTGCATTATACTGCATTTGTGTTTGTTTTTCCATAAATGGTAGTAATTTCAGTCCAGTACAATATTAAAAGTAGTAGTAGTTCAGCAACTTTAGAGGTGCCAAGAACGTACCCCTACTTTTCCAGCATGTTTTTCACTGCACAAGAAGCTGTTTTTCATAAGGCATTGATTTTTGAAAACACATCCCACGTATCATAAGAGAGCTTACTCTAAATTAATTTTTTGATGTTCAAGTAGATTGTCACTGAGTTATAAAGATTTTATTTCTTGCAACGTTTACAGTGTGTGTGATTACAATTTTGATTTGTTAAGCACAAAGAAAGCCATTATCTTGCTGGGGCATTTTGGCAGACTAAACCTAATGTTGACAGACTACTTAATACTAGACATTGAGAGTAGATTTTTATTATACATCGTTTTTCTTATTACAACAGAGGTAGCTAGCACTTTACAGTGATTGAATTTACAGTTGAGATGAAGTATATAAAAAATTACAGTATTGTGTTACAGTTCATTACAATTTACAATAATGATATTGCAACAATTTTAAGTCTGAAGTAATGCTTAAATAATTGAGCAATCATAAATTATTAAGGTTTTTCTTGAGTTACTGGTACGTGATAAAGTATAGTGTTTGTCTGGTTAATTTTGGGTAATTGTAACAAAAAAATTACATTCTGTTAATCTGCCATAACAATGCTTGCTGAATGAGCCAATCTGAAAGGAAACCTAGATACCTGGAAAGGGTTTCAGGGGTCAACGCCTCTGCGGCCCAGTCTGAGACCAGGCCTCGTGGTGAATCAGGGTGTGATCAACCAGGCTGTTCCTGCTGGCCACACGCAAACTCATGTACAAACCACAGCCCAGCTGGTTAGGTACTGACTTTAGGTGCCTGTCCAATGCCTTCTTGAAGACAGCCAGGGGTCTATTGGTAATCCCCTTTATGTATGCCAGGAGGCAGTTGAACAGTCTTGGGCCACTGACACTTATTTTGTTGTCTCTCAGTGTACTCATGGCACCCCTGCAGTTCACTGGGGAAATGTTGCATCTCCTGCTGAGTCTTTCGCTTTCATAGGGAGTGATTTTCATATACAAGTTTGGTATTAATCCCTCTAGGATTTTCCAAGTGTAAATTATCATTCCCAATAATTTAGGTTCCTTATCGTACTTATGTGTGCTGTGAAAGTTCTTTGTACACTCTCCAGGTTGGCAGTTTTGCCTGCCTTGAAGGGGGCAGTTACTGTACAACAGTATTCCAGCCTAGAGAGAACAAGCAATTTGAGGAGAATCATCATGGACTTAGTGTCCCTAGTGTTGGAGGTTCTCATTATCCATTCAATCATTTTCCTAGCAGATGTGGTAGATACATTGTTGTGGTCTTTGAAGGCAAGATCCTCTGACATTATCACATCCAGGTCCTTCATATTACTTTTTTGCTCTATTATATGGTTAGAATTTGTTGTATACCCTGATACAGTTTTAATTTCCTCAAGTTTTCCATATCTGAGTAGTAGTTGAAATTTCTCTTCATTGAACTTCATATTGAACTTCATATTGTGGTGCCCCATGGCCTGGTGGCTAAAGCTCTCGCTTCACACGGCGAGGGCCCGGGTTTGATTCCTGGCGAGAGTAGAAACATTGGACGTGTTTCTTTATACCGGTTGTCTATTTTCCCCATCAGTAAAATGGGTACCTGGATGTCTGTAGACTGGTGTGGGTTGCATCCTGGAACAAAACTGACCTAATTTGCCCGAAATGCTCTGCATAACAAGTGGCTTTCTATATACATGTACATGTAGTCGTATGTCATTGATGTTAGCTAGGCCCGTATACCTTGTACATGTACTTGGAGAAATAAAGATATTATATCATTATTATTATTATTATTATTATATTTTGAGTACCCCATATTACAGAACAGACTTAAATTCGTTAGAAAACATTCAGCGTAGAATGACTAAATTAATACATAGCATCAGAAATCTTCCGTATGAAGAAAGATTGGAGACCCTTAAACTACATTCACTTGTAAGACGAAGAATGAGGGGAGACACGATTGAAGTGTATAAGTGGAAGATGGGTATTAACAAAGGGGATATAAATAAGGTTTTGAGGATATCCCTCCAAGAGAGAACCTGCAATAATGGATTCAAATTAGGTAAGTTTAGATTTGGAAAGTACTGGTTTGGTAATAGGGTAGTTGATGAGTGGTACAGTCTGCCTAGTAGAGTTATCGAATCTAAAGCCTTGGGTAGTTTCAAATTTAGGTTGGATAAGTACATGAGTGAGAGGGGTTGGATTTGAGTGGGACTTGCATGTGAGTAAACAGAACTGTCAGAGCTTATTGCTTTGGTAGCATTTATTCTGTTAGTGGGTTGGATTTGTGAAGGACCTGCTATACTGCAGTAAGCCAACAGGCCTACTGCAGTGTTCCTCCTTTCTTATTTTCTTATTTGAAGATTTGATTGATGTCTGCTTGGACATAGACATCTCTGTCTATGTCAGATATGAGGAGGAGGAATAGGGTGGGAGCAAGTACTGTGCCTTGTGGAACAGAGCTTTTCACCGTAGCTGCCTTAGACTTTACTCGGTTTAGTATTACTCTTTGTGTTCTATTTGTTAGGAAGTTATAGATCCATCTACCAACTTTTCCTGTTATTCCTTTATCACGCATTTTGTGTGCTATTACACATTGGTCGCACTTGTCAAAGGCTTTTGCAAAGTCTGTGTATTCTACATCTGAATTTTGTTTATCCTCTATAGCATCCAGGAACTTGTCATAGTCATCCAGTAGCTGGGACAGGCAGGAGCGACCTGCTCTAAACCTGTTTTGCCCTGGGTTGTGTAACTGATTGGTATCTAGGTGGTTGGCGATCTTGCTTCTTAGAACCCTTTCAAAGATTTTTATGATATGGGATTTTAGATCAATGGTTCAGAGAACCGACACGTTGTTAAATTAGACACGTGTGCAACTCTTGGGTATCTTTATTGAGGAAACGTTTCGCCACACAGTGGCTTCATCAGTCCGTACAAAGGAGAATCTTGAAGAACAGGAGGAGAATGAGATAATCAGTCCCTCAGCCTTGAGTCGATGTGGTCAGTCCAATGTTGAATAAAATACGGCATAAGTGCGGAGAAGGAGCTTATAAACCATAGGCAGGAGAGGTGCAGCAGTCGTAGGTGGTCTTCAAGATTCTCCTTTGTATGGACTGATGAAGCCACTGTGTGGCGAAATGTTTCCTCAATAAAAATACCCAAGAGTTGCACATGTGTCTAATTTAACAACGTGTGGGTTCTCTGAACCATTGATCTAAAATTCTGTCAGACGCTGCAACTTCTTGGGATCTTAATACTTGGGAACTCTTTGCTTGCCTAACCCTTGGGCACGACCTACTTCCACATTGAACAAATGTGACACCACCTACGACTGCTGCACCTCTCCTGCCTACGGTTTATAAGCTCCTTCTCCGCACTTATGCCGTATTTTATTCAAGATTGATGGACTGACCACATCGACTCAAGGCTGAGGGACTGATTACCTCATTCTCCTCCTGTTCTTCAAGATTCTCCTTTGTATGGACTGATGAAGCCACTGTGTGGCGAAACGTTTCCTCAATAAAGATATCCAAGAGTTGCACACGTGTCTAATTTAACATGATATGGGATGTTAGTGCTATCAGTCTGTAGTTCTTTGCAACTGCTTTACTGCCACCTTTGTAGAGTGGGGCTATGTCTGTTGTTTTTAGTAAGTGTGGGATGAACCCTGTGTCCATGCTCCCTCTCCACAGACTGCTGCAGGCATGTGACAGGGGCTTCTTGCAGTTCTTGATGAACAAGGAGTTCCAAGAGTCTGGGCCTGGGGCAGAGTGCACGGGCATATCATTCATTGCCTTTTCAAAGTCTAGTGGTGTTAGTATAATATCAGAGATTTTTGAGATCAAATTTTGGGTCTCGTTCGTAAAGAATTCATTTGGATTGTTGACCTTTAGTCTGGGCAACGGCTCGCTGAACACGGAGTTGTATTGGGACTTTAGTATCTCACTCATTTCTTTGCTGTCATCTGTGTATGTCCCATCTTGCCTGAGCAGGGGCCCAATACTGAATGTTGCTTTACCCTTAGATTTGGCACAAGAGAAGTTTTTTTTTTTCTCAACAAGTTGGCCGTCTCCCACCGAGGCAGTGTGACCCAAAAAGAAAGAGAAGTATTTTTTTTCCCAATTTCCTTTATGGCTTTTAGTTCTTCTTGAGATTCTTGTCTCCTGTAAGGTTCCTTAAGCTTAAGTTTGATATTTGCTATTTCTCTGACCAGTGCCTCCCTTCATATTTCAAGATACATTGGCCCCTCTCAGCAGCTCTGTGATTTTTTGCCTTCATCTGTACAGGGAGCGTCTCTTTCTAGTTTGCATCTTCTCTTTCTTTTTCTTAATGGAATGTGCCTTGAACAGACCTCAAGAGCAACAGAGTTAATTTTTTCTCGGCAAAGGTTTGGATCCATGTTGTTTAGGATATCTTCCCAGCTTGTTTCATTTAGGACAAACTCACATGTTTTGTCTTAAAAGTACACCATTTGCAACATACAGTATATATAATTTTCTTTTTTCTTTAGTTGTATGTTATTTCTACTTTTTCTTTACAAATTTTATATTAGGGGAAAAAGAATGCAATACATAAACTACTACTTCCTGCTAGCAATACTCACAATACCTCATAATGTATCATATATGTACTGTGTAGTACTTTATGTATCATATACAGTGGACCCTCGCATAACGTTGGCATCACATAACGATACTTTTAACGCTAACATTTTCCCTCGGATAACGTTAAAAAACTAGCTTAACGATATTCGTTCTCGGGTACCAATTAATATCGTAATGTGAGGGTCCACTGTAGTAACTTATAATGCATTATACAGTACCTCATAATTTATAATTGGTGATATATTCTCCTGGGGAACATATGTAATTTGTGCCATCTCACGGTCTCCAGTATCCACTAGTAATGCATAATTAGGCTGCTCTCGCCAGTTCTGTTAACAAAACTAGAAATTAGTCAAACCAAATTAATCAAAATGCTGGACTATGTGTATGAATTATGTTATATGTTTCAACATTATCAAAGATAACAGCTGAATGCAAAACATGAAAAAAAGAATTTGAGAGTTACACAAAAAGAAGGCAATTATATTATTATTTGAAAAAGTGCTAAACCCATATTGGTCATAAAGTGCACTGGTGGACTGGATTGTAAAGGTAGGTATGAGTGAATATGTGGATTAGTGAGGGTTATCAAAGAAACATCGCAGTTGGTGTAATGCGTTAGTTTCCATTTAAAAGTCATAGAGGGAGTCTGTGTTAAAGGCGAGACTTCAGGCAAGGAAAGCATTTAGTGCGTTAGAGCATAGATAAAGTCTTGTGCTCTTGGATAGAGAGGGCAGTCTATTAATATATGGTGAGATATTAGAGCTACCTGGCAGTCCTTGCAGAGAAGTCCAGGGCATATCTCCATGTGATACCTGTGTGTGACCGATCCGTAACTGTGCAAACATAGTTTTCCAAACCCAACAGCAATGGAAAGATGATGGCCATGAACCTATTTGCTGTTTGGTTGAAAACAATTTGTCCTTTAATTCAGACCAGCATTGTTGCTTGCAGTTTCAGAGTCAAGAGAACACTAGAAAATAATCTAGAAAAAGGATCTCCCTGTTAGAGACTGGCAGATAGTCTAGATTTTTGTTGCCCTGAGCATCAGTGTGTCCAGGGACCCAGTAAAAAAAAAAAGACTTCTCTGAATTTCCTAGAAATGCAACAAAACCATTGTCATATACAGAGAATGATGGGATCCATTGAATTAAATTTCTGGATAGCCTATGATGCACTCTGGGAATCTAAAACAGTGAATGAGGCAGGAGTCATGGTTGCAATGCCTATGATATCAGCAAGTACTGGCTACAACTCTGATGAGAAAATGCTGGTTGGCTCTAGTAAATGTCCTTGTGTTACTCTATCTGGAAAAACAGCTACATATCTTGCTTCTGGAGATTTCATAGCATCAGTGTACACTGCAACTGCATGAAATGACACTGAAAGTACAGTACTGTATTCAATGAAGAGTAAGCACAAGTTCAAAGTCAACATGTTGGCATTCGGGCATAGGAGGAGGAATTAACAAATATGAATTATCAGAATTTCCCAAGGAAGGATGGGATGAGTATGATACAAGGTGAATTTAAAAGAAGGAGAGCAAGTTAAGAGACTGCCAGAGCTTGAACACAAGGATTAAAGGGCCATAATAAATAGTCAGCATTAAGAAAATTGATCTTATTAATACTTGTGATGATTTTGAACATAGGAAAGTCTTGGAAGTGAAGAAAATATCAAAGGCAATAGGCACTGCCCTGACCCTGCAAAGAAAGGATGTTTGTTTCTGTACAAGGCCCTTGACTGGGAAAGATTGAGAGTCCCCAAGACAGGGATGTAATCCTTGATGATGAATGGCATTAAGTAACGAAGCTGTGGAATATACTTGGTCCACATGATCTAACTTGGACAACATGAGGGGTGAATGAAGTCAAAGGGTTTGTTTATCAGTTCCCCAAATAAAATGGGCTGAAGTTTTAACCCTTAACCCTTTGACTGTTGCAAGCCCCTTTCTGAAACTGTCATTCTATGTCGCAAAATTTTTGGAAAAAAAAAAATTATTTTTTCTTATGAAATGATAGAGAATCTTTTCCCGATGACAATGACACCAAAAGTACGAAATTTGGTTGAAAACTCGCAGAGTTATGCTCCCGCAAAGTTGGCGGTCTCAGTGACATATATGCATCGGCGATTTTGCCGAATTTGAGCCCTGTTTATGGCCAATTCTGTTGTTCCAGTTGACCAAACTCATAGCTATTTCTTTAGAACTCCATTTTTTCTATCAGTTGAGTACAAGAAACTGCCCATTTACCGATTTGAACTACCCAATAAAGTGGTCAGAAATTGGCAATTTGGCCAATTTCACACAAATTAAAAAAGATGCCAATTTCAAAATAGGGTCCAGAATAAACAATGTAGACATTCTTGGCACTAAAATAACATATCCTCTGTTCATTAGTCACATCTCTAGGCCCCTCTTATATTACTATTGCTTTCTATTTTGATTTTTTATTCATGCAAAAAATACAAAATTTACTGTTATGCAGACTACTGCATTATTGTAAAACTGGTATAAATAATATCAGTGCACTAGTGAAAGAATATTAGACTCCCCAGTTGATGTGTATTGAATGTGTGGTGTGATTTGCTTACTCCTGAACATTGGTAAAAATCGAACATTTCCACTACTTTGAGCTCAATTTGAAGGTTGTTTTATCGTGAAACTAATCAAAATCATCTCTATTTCTGTAATAAATGGTCATTTTTTTTTCTCATTATGCACTGCGTGCTGCAGGATTTTTTTTATGTGGTGCACACTGACCACACAGACCCATTCTCTCACATGTGGGCCTACCAGCTTTCTCCTGCTTGATTTGAAGCCGCTAGAATTTACGCGTATAAATACATCTGAAACAGTGGCACGTAAGACATATATATACAACCAAAACAGTCAAAGGGTTAAACTGTCCAAACGTAGATCTACGTTCATGTGTGTAGTGCTCTGAACATAGATCTACATTTTATTTTACATGCTTTCAAATGTAAAAAAAAAAAAAAAAACGTAGATCTACATTTGGACAGTTTAAGGGTTAAGTAGGTTCAACCATTTAATATAGACAGTTTTTAAGGAGATGTGGGACTGCCAAAACATTCGACAATCAAAGTGATGACTGTGAAGGCTTACTCAGCCCTGTAACATCTTCAGTCAGTATTACTCAGGCTGGCTCCTCCTCAGGAAAATTAATGAATAGAAAAAGAAACAATAATTCACAAAGATAAACACTATTATTTATTAAAGCAAACATAAAACAATAAAACATGAAAGGTATATCCTATTTGAAAGAAAAATGAAAAATTAAATGAATAAAATAACATTTGAACTCAACGCTAATATATATAGGGGTGTCTGTTGTTGGTGACACTGTTGTTGAAATCGTAGCCGTTGCTGATGTGGGGGGGGGGGGGTCGCAGGTGTTGGTGACCACCACCGGCTAGTTCTTCACAGAGTATCGCCGTGAGTATTTTATCCCGATGACAGGAAAGCAGGTTCTTTACCGCTGCAATGATGTGGGGTTAGCCTCCCCAATTTCTTTACGGGGTTGCACAAATTAGACCCAAAAATGGGGAATTCGGGGACGTTACCCTTCCCATCGTTTTCTCTTTGATTGACAGGTGCCCCCCCCCTCTGTCATCCAAGCTAAAAAGATAGACGGGTTCCCCACGTTTAAGAAATCATTTCCCCAGGGAAGTCAATACCCAAAAGAGTGGTGTTATTACAACAGCCCAACCTAAGCAAGACTGAAAGGACAAGTTTATTATTGGTAAAAAGTGACGTTTTTAAACCAATAAATCCACTAGAATAAAAGGGAAGGCATGTACTTACAGTAGTGTTGGGAGCTGTGAGTCGAGTGTTTACTGTTGACCAACCCCTCACGTACCCTTTCGGGGGGGGGGGGGGGAAGGGGGGGGAGGGGTAGTGGGAGCTAGAGACCTACGAAAACAAGTACCCGGGCAATCAAACTTCACTTTAGGGGAGGGGAAAAAAAAGGGGGGAATAGGGGGAGCTTGACTTCCCCTCCTTAACAATTCCCGGCAATGAAACAATTGTTACATAACTCCCTCTCTTTTCCTATCTTTAAAATTTTTTCCCTAAACCCCCCCCCACCCAAGACTTATAGTCAAGGGTTATAAAAAGAATAGGCGGGGGGAAAAAGTTTAAATGGGGAAAGTCCTTAAGGCAAGAAAATCTTTACTGACTGCAGACTTAATCAGTCAGAAAAAAAATTGGGATGCCCATTGATATACACAATAGGAACTTAAAACCCGGGAGTCCCCAATGTCCCCCTCAAGAGGGACGTTGGTTTTCCCTTTAAAAAGTTTTCTAGGTATATAAAAGGGTTTGTGGTCCGTTTCAAAAATGAATTTCTTTTCCCAGAAAAAAAAAAATTTAAGTTTGGAGATACCCCAAAACCAAGAGCCAAACATTTTTTTTTAATTGTGGAGTACTTTTTTCTGGGGGAAGGAGTTTCCGGCTTGGGAAGCATCGGGGAAAAGGGAGGCCCATCATGGTATTGTAGTAACACTCACCTAAGCCAGTATTGGAGGCAAGTTTCTTAAAAAAATGTTTTTTTAATATCTGGAATCTTAAGTATAGGGTCTTCGAAAAGATACTTTTAATTTCATTAAATTTTCCCGAGCTCGTCGGAAAGTTAAAGGGGTTCCTTCACAGATTTTTAAAAGGAAGTGGATAAGATCCTGTAAGATCAGAAAGGTTCGGGAAAAACCCCGTCAAAAAAATTTACAAAACCAAAGAAAGCTACCACGACTTCTTTTTTGGGGGGGAAATTTAAATTCTAGAAAAAGCTTTGATCTTACTGGGGAGAGGTGCAGAGAGTTTTGAAAGTTCATAAAAGATATCTAATCTTGTTATCCCCAAGGAAGCATTTTTCGGTTTGGGCAGTGGGGCCCCTTGTGAGGAACCTACCAAAAGATGTTAATGTTTGGTATGTTCCCCCCACGGGGGATGTCTTTAAGAAAATGTTATCAAAAAAAAACTAAAACATTTGGCTTTTACCCAAACCTTTTCATCAGTCTCACGTGGGTGCACAGGCAGTTACCAAACCAAAAAGGGCATGTTTATATTGAATCGCCCTTGGGTGTAAAAAAAGCGGTGTACTCTTAAAAAAGGGATCTAAATTATTTTGTGATATGCCTGGCAATATCAATCTCGAAAAGAAGGAAGGTCAAAAATTTGTGTAGATCGCTATCTATTAAGGGCATGGCTCAGCATCCCCAGAGTTATAGCTTAAAAGGCCTTAAGTCAATAGAAAAATCTATATGAATTACCCTCCTTTTAACCAGATACTGGTGAGAATATGAAGAACTAAAG